GCATGGCCTATAGCTCATTCCTCTTGGGTACTGAATGACACTGCAAGGTCTGGAAGCAGCGCGGTCTACTTCCCCACTCACTCACTGAAAGGCGTTTTGCTTGCTTCCACATTTGGGCAGTGAGGACTACAGCCACCATAAAGATTCAAGTGTAAATTTTTGCGTGGACATATTTTTGACTCGGGTAAAGATCACATAACAAGATTGGCAGATTAAACAGTGAGAGAAGGCTCAGTTTTGGAAGAAACTGACAAAGCAGCCTCGACAGAGGCTGCACCATCCCGCATGCCCAGCAGCAATCAATGGGCGTTCCTGTTGCTCCGCCTCCTGCCCCACAGTTGGTGTTGTCAGTGCTCTGGGTTTTGACCACTCTAACGGGTGTATATGGTATCTTGTACATTTGCTTTTCCCTGATGGCGTATGTTGTGGATGATCCTTTCTGAGCAAATTTCCATCTCTAAATCTCCTTTAGTGAGATGCCTGTTTATTTCTGTGCCCTATTTTTAAAAACTGAACTTTTGGCCGGCGCCGCAGCTCACTAGGCTAATCCTCCGCCTTGCGGCGCCGGCACACCGGGTTCTAGTCCCGGTCAGGGCGCCGGATTCTGTCCTGGTTGCCCCCTTCCAGGCCAGCTCTCTGCTATGGCCCGGGAGTGCAGTGGAGGATGGCCCAAGTACTTGGGCCCTGCACCCCATGGGAGACCAGGAAAAGCACCTGGCTCCTGGCTCCTGCCATCGGATCAGCGCAGTGCGCCGGCCGCAGCGCGCCGGCAGTGGCGGCCATTGGAGGGTGAACCAACGGCAAAGGAAGACCTTTCTCTCTGTCTCTCTCTCTCACTGTCCACTCTGCCTGTCAAAAAAAAATTTTTTTGAACTTTTGCTCTCATTGCTGAATTTTAAATTTTTTAAACATATTTTGATAATAACTCTCTACTTGATATAACTTTTACAAATATTGTCTTCCACCCTGTGACCTGCCTTTTCATTTACTTTAAAGGGCAGTTTAAATTAAACAGAATAAACTGAAAGGAAAAAATGTTTGTTTTTCTTCAAATATTAAATACAAAATTTTAGAAGCCATGCACTTCTGAAAACATTGAATTGAAAAGTGACTGTCAAAGTATCAAAGTACTTCTGAAATGTTGGGGAAATTGGGAAACTTTTTAAGTGAGCATTTGTTGTTAATAAATTATAGGAAGGGAGGTGTCGTATTTCCCTGGTTCCCCACTCTATCCCTGGCAAGTGGTGGGTACCCCTAAAACACTTGTAAATGAATGGATGGATGAGTGTCCCCTGTTGGTTAGCAACACCACAGACTTTATTTAATCTTCACAAACGTTTAAAAGTTAGGTTTTGGTGTCCTCGCTTCATAGAGGAGGAAACCGAGTCTAAAGGGAGATAAGGGAGTGGCCCCGGGCCACACAAAGAGGCGGTAGCAGAATAATTCAGCTGTGAGAAGCCTAATTCCAAGTGAACATCTGTTCCACTGCGGCACTCACTTTAGCCAGGGCTGCTGGTTTCCTGCCCGACACTCAGTTCCTCCCTCGCCCTTGCAGACAGAACTCGAACTCAGCTCTGCCGTCCTATACTTTCAGGTGGCTCAGATAAACCTTCATCGATCCAAGCCAAAAACAATGCTTCCCTTTCCCCAGACCTCGGACTACTTAGGGTCAGGAGTGCGATCTGGCTTTGGTCAGTGAGACTGCAGACAAACACTCAGGTGGTGGGGGAGGAGGATTTAAAAAAAGGATTCTTCTTGCCTCTTCAGCAAAGAAATACAAGAAACAGATTTGTACAGGGATGTGATGCCTGCAGCTACTAGAATCAGCTTGCTGCCCAGAGGGGCAGGAGGGGACGGCCTTGGGCACCTGATGTACTGTTGGGTTCCCAGCATTGTTCAGTCACCGGCTGTGAATGATCAAGGCCTTGGTTTTTCTCAGTCAGTTGCTTGAGAGCTTGGGCTGGCCAGGAACCAGCGAACTGGAATGTCAGTCATTCTGTCAAACTGACCCTGTCTAACACCAGCTCCAGTGTTTGAAACCTCATTGCAAATGGGCATTTAAAATGAAATGCTGTCATCGTTTTTCTGATGACTTTATGGAAATGGGGTCTTCTTACTTGTTCGTTCACTCACCAGCCATTTCCTGGGTGGCTGCTGCTGGCAGGTGCGCAAGTGCTTGACCAGAGGTCTGCAAAGGGGGACATTCAGGCACCCTGCTGGTGGGCTGCGGGGAGAGTCGGGGCAGGGGCTACACCAGCACTGAAAAGAAGGTGACATTGGAGCCAAATGCTAAGACCAGCAGGAATGATCTGAGTGGGTGAGGGGGGGAAACAAAGGGCATTTCCTGCAAAGGGGGGGAACATCTGAGATACAGCAGAGGGTCAGAGAATGTGCTACAGCAACTGTGTGTAGAGAGTGCAGGTTGGGAGAGTCTGACAGAGGTGACAAGGGGCCTTGGCAAAGCTTTGGGTTGAGGCCTGTGCAGAAAGCAGTACAGGGTGATAAAGGATGTTGGGTGCAGCAGCAGAGAGACTATTTTGGAGGGGAGAAAGGAGACCAGAAGGGTTACCAGGAAGCAGGGAGGAAATGAAGAGTTTTCAGATGCAAGAGATACACAGGGTATTTAGGAGACCGCATTTGAGAGATGAGGACGTAGCGGAGTAGTAGGTCTGCAAAGAGAGGCAGATTTAGTGAGGCCCGGAGGAGGCTGCAGAGAGGGACCAAGGCTGGCGATGACGCCAGTGCGTGTGGTTGCCAGCTTTACTTCGTGTGGTTTTACAACCAAAGAGGGATGGATTACTCCACATTTGGGTAAGTTCTGCAGAAAGAGAAGGGAGCCAGAGAAGTGAGAAGGTGAAGGTATTGTTTCGAGGACCGCAGGTGAAGTGCTGAGCCAAACCAGGCTGGAAATGGGGGCAACCCCTGAAGGGAGAGCACGGGACAGGACTTCGCTCACAGGGTACGCAAGTACAAGGAAACTTCAACACCTCTGGGAAAATGAAAGTAAAAGATGAGTTTGTGGGGGTGAAACAACTTTTGAAATGCATGCATAGCTTTTTTATAATACACACTTTTTCATGAAAAAAAGTCCTCTCATATACATGGATTTCAAAATTTTTTGGATCAAAATAAACCTATCTTTTAATTCCACTTCTCCTTGAATATTTCAAAATACCCTCATGTATCAGGAGCAACGAGGATAATAGAATCTGTGAGTAAGAAAGTATTTTAAAGAAAGATACCTTTTTTATTTATTTATTTTTTATTTGTTGACAGGCAGAGGTTAGACAGTGAGAGAGAGAGAGAGACAGAGAGAAAGGTCTTCCTTCCGTTGGTTCACCTCCCAGGATGGCCGCTATGGCCGGTGTACTGCGCCACTCCGAAGCCAGGAGCCAGGTGCTTCTCCTGGTCTCCCATGCGGGTGCAGGGCCAAGCACTTGGGCCATCCTCCACTGCCTTTCCGGGCCACAGCAGAGAGCTGGACTGGAAGAGGAGCAACCGGGACAGAACCGGCGCCCATATGGGATGCCGGCGCTGCAGGCGGAGGATTAGCCAAGTGAGCCACGGCACTGGCCAAAAGATACCTTTTTAAAATATGTCTTTATTTGAGAGGCTGAGAGACAGAGTTTTCATTTGCTGGTTTACTCCCCAAATGCCCCCAACAGCCAAGCCTATGCCAGGCCAAATCTAGGAGCCAGAAGCTCAATCCAGGTCTCCTATGTGGGCGGCAGAAACCCACTATCACCACTGATTCCCAGGCTGTGCACCAGCAGGAAGTTAAGAGTCAGGAGCCACAGCCAGGCATTGGACTCAGCTACTCCAGTGTGGAACCTGGGTGTCTTTTCACCTTGAGGCCAAAGGTCACCCTGGCAGGAGTGCTGAGTCTTCTGAAGCTGGAGTTGCTCTTGGTAACCATCGGGGGCAGGGGTGGGTCGCTAATGGAGAATTAACTGCTGACGACAGGTGCGTCGTGGAGATGAGGGTCCACAGTGCTGAAGGAGCCAAGACACCAGGCAAGGGAACAGCCATCTCCATGAACATCAAAGACACCACGATCAAGGCAGATGGAGGGTGGAGAGAAAATCTGTAAGCCATGTTCCCAAATCTCTTGACACATATCAGGGAGTGATGAGAGCCTGCAGCAGGGATGGACGACTGCACACTTGTGAGGCACACATTTCCAAGGAGCAGAATTCCCACATGATATTTGAGGAATATTGAAGCAATATGGACAGGTTAGTAGCCAGCAAGGAGAAGCTGAGGAAGCCGGCAGTACCTTTGTCCATGCCCGCTGCACACTCCACCCCCCTGTGCATGCTTGCTTGAAATGCCCAACATGATGGCAGGCTCAGCACACCCATTCCCCAGCATGCACCTGGGCCTCACTTCCCATAACACAAGAGAACTTTCCTAGAGATGACCACATGTGTGCCCCGACCTTACATGGAGATGCCGTGGCACTTCCAAAATTACCCAGGAAGGGATATGGAAGTGAGTGGTACTCAACTCCAGCACAAACTCTGCCTCCTTCGAATATTCAATTAGGCTCTGCCTCAGGTAACCCTGTACCCTATATAAGGACCACCCCGACTTTGGTGGGGGTGCAGCCATTTCTATTCTTCTTGTGAAGAGAAGTTGCCTGCACTCACATCTGAGTTTGTGGTATCCTTTCCATAAATCCTGCTCTCTTGTGCTCCTCTACATATCCTCCTTGAATTCTTTTCTCACGGAGAGTCAAGTGCTTGGAACAAGCCCAGCTGTGGGTCACGCTCCCCACACATCAGTGTTATAGTTATTTGGTATTTACTGTGCACCAGGCTCTGTTTGAGGAACTTTATATATACTAAGCTCATATAATTCTCTCCTGTAAGGTAAGTACTGTAATTATCCCCTACTTTGTAAATGAGAGAACTAGGGCCCTGAGATGGTTAATAACTTGCCCAAGGTACATAGTCACAATTGCAACCCAGGTAGGTAGGCCTCAAAGTCCAAACTCTTACCTATGCTGCTGTCCTCCTGATTCTGCCAGGCAACGAAGGCCAGCCCCTGTGGCAGTGAGGAAAGTTCCAGAACACGTAGTCCCCACTAGTGAGCACTGGTGGGAGGTAGTGTCCAAGCTATGAAGCCACCTAAAAAAACCAGACCGTGACTGCTCCTCGATGGCTTGGCTTCTGCGTGTCTCCCAGATTCTGTGTCATTAGTACTTACACATAATAGTGTATCTTTGAACTGTGTGTTAATATGTAAACTGCCTCAGGCCTTTTCAGAAGTGGGTGTGATAGGCTTTTAAAATGAATGGTTCCATTAATTATTAGCAATAAGTATTCAGTTACATAAAAGAATTGATTTGCATGTTCCAGAGAACTTGTATGCTCCTCCCCACCTGAGAAGTGGCAAAGAAGACACTAAAATGTCATCTGACGCAGCGCACGCGTCCGTCTTGTCTTTGGCATTGCTAAGGTCTACAGCAAATCGGTTTATTCGGGGTTCCCGATGCCTTTTGAAAGATATTCTCCCTATTTTTCTTTGTTTTTTTCTCTTTTCTTACCTGCCAGACACTGACTATGTTAAGTGCCAAGGGCACACAAGTGTTCCAACGAAGTCTGTTTTGATTGGCTCATGGCAGATTTTGTTTATTTTATTAGGAATAGAGCCCAAAAAGTCTTTGAATTAAGTCCAGATCCTACAAAGCAAAGACCTGCTGTTTCCTGAGCACTGACTCAGAAACCGGCTTCCTCCTCTTTCCAGAGTGACTCTTCCAGAAAAGGAGCTCTTAGAAGGGGAGAAATGTGGAAAACGCGGATCTTCACAAAAGGAAATTTGTGGTACAATTATAAACTACGATACGGACTCAAGACTGGAAATCCATGGCTCATATTTACATTTAATAGCTCTGCTATAATTAAAATATGTCTTTCCAGGTGTGATTCAGGTGTCATTTATAAATACATCTATTGATATGATGTGTATTGCAAAAAGTCTGTGCTAATCGTGAATGTGATCATGGATGTGCAAACCAACTAAAGAGCTGGATATTTTAGATGTAAAATCTCAGGTCATTTGAAAAAAAACAAATGATTTCTTTTTCACCTGGAAGATTTAGAGAAGCAGCATTTGAAAAGGACCTACTGACATTTCAAGGTAGCTATTCTTAATGCAGCTTTGAGTTCTGGAATACCTAGAAGCCCTGTGGACCTACAGGAAGGAAGAGAAATCAGAGAACTGTTGGTCAACAAGATGACACTTTACTTCAATGACAACTCCACTTCTTGGAGAAAAAGTATTTTGTGAAGTCAGGAAGGAAAGCAGAAGTGCTGGTGCTATGCAGCTGGTTGCTGGTTAAGCCACTGCCTGCAACACTGGCGTCTCACCCCATATTGGAGAGCTCTTTTGCCTGTCCGACGCGCCACTTCTGATCCAGCTTCCTGCAAATGAGCCTGGGAAAGCGGCAGAAGACGGCCAAGTGCTTGGGCCTCTGCCACTGAAGTGGGAGGCCTGCCTGGGGTTCCAGGCTCCTGGTTTCAGCCTGGCACAGCCCCCACCAAGATTGAAATTTGGGGAGTGAACCATCAGATACAAGTTCTCTTTCTCTCTGGGTCTCTCCCTCCTACTCTGTCACTCTACCTTTCATATAAAGAAAATCTCTTTAAAAAAAAAGTAAATCAGAAAAAAAAACCACTGAACTTTGATATGAACCAATTTTTTAACACTTTTTCAGTGTCCAATTTGTAAGGCTCTGAGCTCACTGCTAAGCTATATCTACATGGTAGGGGTGGAGGGAGGGTCAGATATAAATAAGTATGAGTTGCAGTCTTTTCTCTCAGGTTTCTAGTAACATACATGAATTTTAACATACTTTGCATTTTTAGGAAAAATTCATAGAAAATGGAATTAAATGGTAAGTTTATTTTGATGCAAAAATATTTTATATCCATGCATTATTTTTAATAATATGCATTGCCGTGAACTTTTAAAATTTGCTTATTTATTTTATTTGAAAGGGGAGAGAGGGAGTAAGAGAGGGAGGGAGAGAGAGAGAATCTCCCATCTACTGGTGCACTTCCTAAATGCCTTTGTGGAGATTCCTCATGTGTTTATTGTTCTCTTGCTTGTCTGTATAGTTTTGCTACTAATACATAAATATACCCTAAAGAAACTTGTTTAGTTTTATAAATTTTTAAATTTATTTGAATGGAAGAAAGAAGAGAGAGGGAGGGACTGAGAGAGTGCACGTGCTCACATGTGCCAGTTCATTCCCCAAATGTCTACAACTATTGGTGCTGGGCTAGGGCTGAAACCAGGAGCCAAGAACTCACTCCAAGTTTTGCACATAGGTGGCAGGGACCCCACTACTTGAGTGATTATCATTGCTTCCCAAGGTCTGCACTGGCCAAAAGCTGGAGTCTAGACTAAGAGCCAGGAGTTGAACACAGGCACTTTTACGTAGGATGAGGGCACCTTAACCACAAGGCTACATGCACACTTCCAGTTTTACAAATTTTGAGCTTTATATCCATGGAATCATGTTGTATGCTTTCTTTTGTAATTAACTTTTTTCACTTAATATTATATTCTGGGGTGGGGTGGTGTGGAGGCATTTGAAATTATATTACAGGAGAGGGGAGACATAAGATGGTGGTAGCCATCAACACCAGCTCCCACCTCCTGCTGATTTACTGCCTGAACTGAGCAGGTAAAGCCCAACCTGGTTTACATCCGCATATAGTCAAAGAGAAAAGCTCATTAAGACACTGACTAATGACAACAAGAAGTATTACTTATCTGGGAAAATTGCTTCTTTGGGAGAGTACCACTGACCACAGTCTGCTGTCCAGCCTGTGCTGTCCTGGTCCGCCATAACCTTCTGGAGAGAGTTCTCCCGAGAGATCTCAGTGGCACAAGAAGCGCTTTCTCCTGGCACATTCCTTTAGCAGCTCACAAGTCTCAGCAAATTCCCATCATCTCAATGGTGCGTCCACAAGGGCATCCGCTCTACAGGAGAGGCCTCGGGCATTGCCACTGGCTAGGAAAGGAGATGATAAGGTGGGTGGAGAGGATGGGAAATTCAACGTATTACTGGGGCTTTCAGCTGTGTGCCTGACAGCGTTCAGCACTGCCCACAGCAGTAAGATTTCTACCCTCACTGTGGAGGAGAAAAATCCAGGACATTCTGAGACCCAAGAGGAGGAACTCCTGGGTGACTCACAGAGAGGAAGATGATGACATCAACCCAGAGTATGCAGATCCTTTCAATTCGTTGCTTTCAGAACGTGGTACAAATGGCAGTGTTTAATTTTAATTATGCACTAATGTGCCCTTGTTTTCTAGGGTACTCATTTACCCTCATACTTGCAGCCAATGAGTGCTTGAGAATCTATCCATCACTGATCAATGCCATCTGCAGTTTTTTTTTTATACAGTTACTGAAAATTTGGACCACAGCTAATTAGTAAAGCATTTCCAGGACTCCCAATGCATGGCATGGGTACAAAGCTAATTTTAAAAAAGAATTTATAATTCACTTTTATCATCTGATTTTTTAAAGTCTTCTGTTGATCCCCTAACCAAAAGACAAAAACTGATCTGCTTCTCACAGGCCACTGTGAAGTTCGAAACAGAAGAATGGATGATAAGCTTATTCACAGCTGCTGCATCTCTCCCCGTGGGAATGTTTGAGACAGTTTATCAGAGCAAATATTCAAATGCCTCTGCGTTAGCATATTTCTTTTTTATTTTTAAACATTTATTTATTTATTTGAAAGGCAGAGTCACAGACAGAGAGAGGGAGAGACAGAGAGAGGTCTTCCAACCTCTGGTTCATTCCCGAAATGGTTGCGATGGCAGCAGCTGGGCCAATCTGAAGCCAGGAGCCAGGAGATTCATCTTGGCCTCCCACATGGGTGCAGGGGCCCAAGTACTTGGGCCATCATCCTCTGCTTTCCCATGCTGTTAGCAGGGAGCTAGATAGGAAGCGGAGTAGCAGGAACTGGAACCAGCCCCACCTGGGATGGTGATGCCACAGGTGGAGGCCTAAGCTACTATACCACAATGCCAGCCCCTTTAGTGTATCTCTTAACATTTGGAAAGAGATACTCTTGCATGAGACCCTGTAGAAAAGGACTTGCTAATAGTATTTAGTGTGGCTCCCTCCATTTTTGCCATATCATCTTATAAAATGAGTGAAAAATGTTGTGCCAGGAATCTAAGTATGCATAGACCTTGTAACAGCAAGGATAAATAAATAAAATCCTAAAAATTTTGAAATCCATGCATAGCTTTAAAAAAATGCAACTTATATGGAGACTCCCCAATATGAAAGACTTGGGTGTAAATCCAAGGTATCCTTCAATAAGTGAGTAAGCTGTAGAATGCAAACAATGGAATATTATTCCCCACTAAAAATAAGTGAGATATCCAGCCAAGGAGAACACTTTGTACATTAAATTAACATTAGCACAATTAAATCAACAAGTTTTGTCTTAACAACCTTAAGCATGATAAACTAGTCAAGAATTTAATTTGTTTAAGGTAGAATAGCTTGGAGATTAAAAAAAATCCTGAAATATACACAGAACTGTAAAAGGAATGATTCCATCAACCCAATCAATATTTATTGCTTGCCTACCCTTTGCAACTTGGTTCCAGTTCTCACAGTGTTGGCATTGGTCATGAAGATCAGAAGTAAATTGTAAGGATGAGTACTGAAAAAAAATAAACAAATAAAAATCATTCAGTTTAGTACGAATTGAGAGCTCATAGGCTTCAGTCACTAAGGTAGGTTATGGGACTCTCGATCAACTTATAAACCAATGCAATCACATGATTCTCTGTAATCAGGTAAGTGGACTGTGCACTGGTGCAGGATGAGCCAGCCTCACCACGCCCTGACAGAAAGACGAAGCTGACATTGTTTATGGCACAGAAAGCTCCATTGTGAGGAGCTGGCCCAGGACAGAAGGTGTGCCTCAACCTCAGTGGATTCTTGGAGGACAGGGTGAAGAAGCTGGAAATGGTTTTCCAGGGAGGCTGGACTAATGAGCAGCCATCAGTCACCAAGCCACAAGAAACAAAGAGTCTTTGATTCCAGTGCCTGCCTCAGGGTCACACTCGTTAGGGCTTCTTCAACTTAGCTTCCCCTGACTACTAGAAGCAAGCAGAGACAAGAACTTCTAAGAGAAGAGTGCTTGTCCAGAAGCCAAGAGGCAGAGAAGTCTGCAGGGAGGTTCTATGTTGTTTTTTGCTTTTTTGTTTTTGTTTTGCACTCAATGGAATGACAAAGCTCCACATAGTCCCATGAGAGCTTTAAGGCATAACTTCCAACTGGGCACGAAGAACGGATCGGATCGATTAGTATTCTGAATAAACTACATTCCAAGCTCAGACTCCTTATTCATAAAATCTTTTGTTGTCATTTCTTGGCTTAAAAAACTGTTTTTCAGGGTTGAATTGATCACCACATTAACTGGGAACATGTTGAAATCTTTCACAAAGCTCCAAAGCTCTCACCTTTACATTGGAGACTGGCTGCACCAAATGTTTCCACGATAGATGACGACTTAAGTGGTACATTCCGTTTCTCTGCCTGGAATTTTCTGCAAAAGTAGTTTATTCTTTTCAGTATATCTTTGGTAGATACGAATAAGATATGGAAAGAGTGCACACCACTGTGGTAGGAAGCAATAATGTGGTTTGCTTGACGTTTGGAAGAGCCTGAAATACATGAGTGAAATACATGAGTGAGCCAGGGATTGAGTTCAGAAACCATACTGACTAAGCTAAGATTCATGAGGAAAAATGATGAGCCTACAAGTCCGCCTGGTCAAAGCATATAGAAAGGTTACTGTTAAATTAATTCAGGATAGTCTTACACAAATGGAAGTCTAAGATGTTAGGCTGGCTTTTTTAGGGAGGTAAATTTGCAAGGAAATTATGTTACCCAAGCTGGGGGAGACCTAACACTGTAGTGAAGGTGGGAAGGGTGCAGAAGAGGTCATTGTCAATGTGGGAAACAGTCCTTAACAGAATATTTTAATCAGAATGAAGAAAGAGCTATGGAAAGCCCTCAGCCTTTTACAGAGACAGCTTCAGGAAGCCGAGATAAAACCACCGATTTATTCTGACTTGTCATACTCATTTCTATGTTTGGATAAGCTTCCAACTTTTTATCCTTTTTTGTTTTCAGTGTTGTAAAATATCTCCAAGAATTCCTTTAATGTGTGAAGATTTCTTTTAGTTTTTTGGCTGGCAGTACTTCCTTTGGGATATCTTCATCCTTTCAGTCCAAATCTCTTTCCTCATGTACATGGGTAACCTTGACTACTACAGTTTCTCAAACATCAGTGATGCCCCCCGTCCCCCTGTCTGTTCTTCCTTCTATCATTCTATTCACGACTGATTTGAATTTTACTCACAGAATTTTCACTGATCACTGCTTTGCTGCACTTCCACCTTTCTTGGCCAATTCCTTCAATGGTCCATTTTTGTTATTTGTTATGTGGGTTTATCCCTGGGAGATAAGGAGGCAACAGAGCTACACACCTTTCTGTGTGTGCCTGAACTGAGTGATTAAGCAGTTACAGCCAGGTAACATGTCATGGAGGAGACCAGAACTTTATTGATAACCACTTAAGTTGAACAGCATTAAACTTAATTCAGGGAACCATACATTAAAAAAAAGTCTACTGCTTAGTCCATAAAAGATTATTTCTGGGGGTGGGCATTGTGGTGTAGCGGACAAAGCTGTAACCTATGATCCCAGCATCTCATACAGGTGGCTGGTTTGTGTCCTGGCTGCTGCTCTACTTCCAAACCAGTTCCCTGTTAATGGCCTGGGAAAAGCAGCAGAAGATAGCCCAAGTGTTTGGGCCCCTGACACCTAAGTGGGAGACCTGGAAAAATTCCTGGATCCTGGCTTCAGTTTGGCCAAGCCTTGGCCATTGCAGCCATCTGGGGAATGAACCAGCAGATGGAAGATTTCTCTCTCCATGTATCTTTCTTTCTCTCTATAACTCTTTCAAAATAAATGAATAAATATTTTTAAATAAAAGATTGCTTCTCATATATTCTGCATAAAGAACAACATGAAGGGAATTCAGTATTAAGGTGTGGTTAAATTATTCCAATTATATTTTTAGTTTATAATGTTTGCGAATATTGATTTTGAACTGGGGGATAGTTTGTATTCTGATTCTACAATTTTTATCCCTTGTCGCATTATGAAGGACACAAAAAAGCAGAAGACTTGATCGTTATTCTCCAAAATTAACTAGTATTGTTGCTAAACTGACACTCTTTGCACATTTGTTAAATTATAGGATTTGGAGCATCTAGAGGTTGGTATGAGGCCCTCTGATACAAGACAAACAAATATTAAACCCAGGAGATGGCAGAAAGTGGTGTGACATGGGCTAGGAAAAATCTCAATGGAATTCATAGGACCTGACAGGTAGGAATGTAACTTATCGAGTGATTAAAACAAAAAAGAAATACAAATGTAGCAAATTAAGTTCATATATTAAACAGCTTAGTGTAGAGATGGTGCATGCAATGGCATGTTACTCCCTTTAGATGCTGCCTCAGTGTCAGAAATCTCAATATAATGGCATCATATGCCAGAGATACTTTATGAACAAAATATTAGGCCTATCTTGGTTGCTTACTCTAAATGAAATATAAATACTTTAAATGGGGCCATCAAAGAAGGAGGTACCTTTCTCTGAAGGGAGGAGAGAACTTCCACTTTGACTATGACCCTGTTGGAATAAGATTGAAGTCGGCGAACTCAAAAGGCTTCCATAGCCTTGGCAACTCATGACTAGAGCCTAGGGAGATTACTGACGCCATAAACAAGAGTATCAAATTGTTAAGTGAACAACAGGAGTCACTGTGTACTTACTCCTCATGTGGGATCTGTCCTTAATGTGTTATCCAATGTGAAGTAATGCTATAACTAGTACTGAAACAGTATTTTACACTTTGTGTTTCTGTGTGGGTGCAAACTGATGAAATTTTTACTTAATATATACTAAATCGAAATTCTGTATATAAAGATAATTGAAAATGAATCTTGATGTGAATGGAATGGGAGAGGGAGCGGAAGATGGGAGGGGTGCGAGTGGGAGGGAATTATGGGAGGGGGGAAGCCATTGTATTCCATAAACTGTACTTTGGAAATTTATATTTACTAAATAAAAAGAAAAAAAAAGAAATATAAATACTTTAGTTCTCCTAAAAGTAAAATAGTTTTTAAAGCATATAAGAAATACATTCAAATTATGGGATATTTTATACATATCAAAATTTTTAATTATATTTGTTATTTGTCATGATATAAAACATAATTCTTCCTATCAGTTTACTATTATTATTAGTTAACATCTATTTATTTTCTGATAGCCAACTTTACAAATTCACAATTATTAATAATTTAACCTGAGACCAGAGAATTGAAATAATTAGATGAGTTAATTTATAATCTAAAAATCAACAATTACAAGCAGACCATTCAAAGTTAAAGGAGATTTAATAGATGCTACTATTTCTACATAAATAACCTTTTTCTGAAGTTTTTGATTTTGCAATATAGTCCTATTAGAATATATTAGATATTTTCTTAATTTTCTTTCGTTCATTCATGTTTTTGCTTAACTAAAAGTAACAGTGAGGCTATATTTTCCTTGGCTCTCTTTCATCTCAGAATTAAGTCACTGAAATCCCCATCTTCAACATTAAGTTAGGTCTTGTGGAATGCTCTCACTACTTCATACATTTGGAAATTTCGGATCAATGCCATTGGGCTGGGTTGTGCTACTCTACCGATACACGAGCGTCAGGAGTTAGGGCACTGTAGTTAGAAGGCTGATGAAAGAGTCTGGGGGAGACAGGGACTGAACCCAGATTCCCATCAGTGTTTTAAATGGGAGGAGCGCTTGAAATGGACTAGGACTACAACTGAAGGGTCACTGTCAGGGAGGGGTTAACTGGTGATCCACTAGACAGGGGCCACAAAGGGCAGAGCTGTACTGGCAGGGTGAAGCCCACCAGCTTACCACACAGGACAGGCTTGGGGAAGGCTGGGGTCACAGGCAGCTGCAGTAGCAAGGCATACCCAGACTCTGCTCATGAATATCACAATCAGGTAAGTAGAAGCTGAGGAGTAGACCTAAGAGGGGGTGAAGTAGCATTCCTGGGAGTTACTTCTGTAAGAAGTAATGCCTAACTCTGACCTTTTCTCTGTGTGGGCAGTACAAGTCTTCCACGTCTTCCAAAGACAGCTGTTTCTGTCAATATTTCTTGGACTAGTCATGGAGGTAGGTCAGCAGTTGCATTTTCAAACTCCCAAGCCCCAGCCCGTGTTTGTGTTGGCTAGTACTGCCCTGCCCTGAGGTTTCAGCAGGGACTCTCAGAGGCCAGGTTCTTTGATTTCCTTAACCTTCTTTGTGGTACTTTCACTCTCGTCCCAGCCCCCAAAGTCCTGGGCAAAGGGCCAGGCTTACAAAACTAGCCTTCGGATCAGGGTTTAGACCTATAATGCCTATGAAAAAAAAGTTTCTGAATCAGCAATAATTAATCCATGCAACTGTATTTGGCTCTAAAATGTAATGTATGCTTAGGAATTTCTCTTACAGGTAAAGGATCTCTGGAAGTGAGTTTAGCATGATAGAAATATTCTCATCCAGTGTGGGAACATATCAAGGAATATTTCCTTTACTGTCTCCTTATCAAAGCTTTTGAAACTTCTGAACTCTTAGGTTCCTAAGTATGCCTGGAGAAAGTCACATAAAGCACCACTTGATTCTACTACTTGGTCAGGCTGCCTAATGCCACCTAAGTGAATCTCAATGGTGCATTTGGAAATGAATAGGGATGTTTTTGGTTATCACAATTATGGGGAGTATACTGGCATTGAGTAGACAGAATTAGTTATACTAAACTTTCTACAATGCACAGGAAAGGAATCCTGCATAGTAGCAGGCAATGACTACAGGGTAAGACCACATTGGAAAACTAGGGTTCAATTCCTAGCTTTGGCTCGTAACTCCAATTTCCTGCTATGCAGACCCTAGGAGGCAGCGGTGATGGACCAAGTAATTGGGTTCCTGCCATCCTTGTGGGAGACCTGGATTGTGTTTCCAGCCCCTATCATTTTGGGCATTTGGGTAGTGAACCAGTGGACTGGGTTTCTCTCTCTATCCTTGCTTCTCAATAAATAAGTTTAATAACAACAACAATAATAATAAAAGAATCCTGCACAGAGTTCCTCCAGTACTACCATTACAGGCAGTACAAGGCACATCAAAAACGTTGCTGGGGGTGGGCATTGTTGCACAGTGGGTAAACTTGCTGCTTGGGATACTGGCATCCTATATTGGAGTACCGGTTTGAGTCTCAGCTGTTGCTTCCAATCCAGCTTCCGTTAATGTGCCTGGATGGAAGAAGATGATGTGGCAAGTCTTTGGGTCCCTGACACCTAGACGGGAGACCTGGAAAAAGTTTCTGGCTCCTGGCTGCAGCCTGGCCCAAACCCAGCTCTCATGGCCATTTGGGGAGTGAACCAGCTTGAATGATGTGAGGATCCTCTCCAAAGAAGATTTCTCTCTCTCTCTGTCCCTCTCTGTCCCTCTCTGTCACTCTCTCTTCCAAAGAAATTTGTGGAAAGTAGAATTAAATGGTAAGTTTGCTTAAGGTAAATGCTTTTGAAACAAATGCAG